ACAAGATGTGCAGTCGTGCCCAGCTGGTCCCATGTCACTCTGACGCTGATGGTGGAGGGCTGCCATGACCTTTTGCCTCAGGGAGTGACCTGGCCAGCAACATGTCACACTGGACCATGATGGTGGAGGACGGCCCCGTGCGGGTTAATCACGCGGCCGTCGTGATCGAGGACACCATCCTGTCGTTCGGTGGCTACTGCGCCACGGACTTCGACCCGCACAACCCCGACAAGGCCATGGACATTCACGCCTTTTCCACCAGTGAGTTTTTTCCTGCATGTCTGTCGAAGCCAGTGCGTCCTATTGGTGATGAGTTTATTCGTCGGCAGTGGGCTGAGACCTGTCCCGGACCCAGTGGCCGGGCTGGCGTTGTGTTGGCTGTGAGGCAATTGTGTTAGGTCGAGTTCACTCAACTGTGTCACGTTCTTGTTACCTGTCCCGTTTTGGCTTACTCGCGGTGCCTTTTTCAATCATGTCATTCGACGAAGGACACCAGTCCACGCAGCCAGATGGAGCACGCGCCAACTGCAGTCATGTGTTTGCACGCGCCGTGTGGTCATGTGTTTGCCACGTGGCCCGACCTTTGTCGCGCGTTTGACGGCGCGGATCATGACATCCTCCTGGCCAATCTGCGATGACACGGTGTGGACTATGACATCCTCCTGGCCAATCTGCGATGGCACGGTGTGGACCATGACATCCTCCTGGCCAATCTGCGATGGCACGGTGTGGACCATGACATCCTTCTGGCCAATCTGCGATGGCACGGTGTGGACCTCAGATGACGTGGGGCCTTCATTGATGGCCGTCGGCATGTGCAAATGGGGGACTCATCCCGTTGTTTTTGTCACAGCGTTCCTCAGGGCTCCTTTGTTGGCCCCATCCTTATGTCGCTTCATAAACGAGGTACTATCCACTCGCTGCACGGATGTCCGGCACGCTATGCCGACGATAGTCAGCGACTGGTTCAGCTTATCCGGACGAGAGAAGGAATTTTCAGTCGCCATCTGGCCACATCTGACCCGCCAGGAACCCGCTGCCTTTTGCCAGGGTTGGTGGTCATGCTTGGAGGACCTTTGTTGGTTGAGGATTTTAACATATGTGATAACATTGATATATTCAACATAGTGATATATTTAACATAATGCTATATTTAACATAATGCTATATTTAACATAATGCTATATTTAGCATAATTATGCATTATTTGCTAGAACATAGTTTTTAAAAATTATCATGAGAAAGACAATTTTACAAAAGACATAGTGCACTGAAAACACAATACAATTCGGAAAAGTCATATTTTGACTTTTGACTAGCAAGGGCCTAAGCGGCACAAAACCCATGGCATGGCCTGTGTACAGGTGACAGCTCCAGCAAAACAGGTTGCACGAGTTGGGGAAGTCGTCGGGATGGATCACTTACATAAACACAGCAACACAATCATCCGGGCTCAGGACCATTTGGGCACTACAGTATGAGGCCTTTCTTGCTGTCAAATCTGACGTAACAGCCAACTCCTGGAATGTTGAATCCACTCGAGGGTAAGAGGACCACGCTGTTCGGTGATCTCTGCTAGCCACACACCGGCGCATTCGCCGTCGCCGTTGTGTTCCCTCACGCCTGTTCATGGGCTCTTGGTCTGTAGCCGGGCTGCAGTATACCGTTCGAACCGCGTGCAAAATGAGGGATCGGCCCAGGATCGTACCGTGAGCTCGTGCTCGAGATCGCCGCTGGCCGGCCGTAGGGGCGCTGGGTGGGCTCCGGGCGCGTGACGTGATCGCCGCTGGCCGGCCGTGGGGGCGCTGAGTGGGCTCCGGGCGCGTGACGTGATCGCCGCTGGCCGGCCGTGGGGGCGCTGGGTGGGCTCCGGGCGCGTGACGTGATCGCTGCTGGCCGGCCGTGGGGGCGCTGGGTGGGCTCCGAGCGCGTGACGTGATCGCCGCTGGCCGGCCGTGGGGGCGCTGGGTGGGCTCCGGGCGCGGCCGTGACGTGATCGTCTGCCGCGACAACGCTGACGTATGCCAGGCTCTGAAGAGCCTCTTGCCCCGTGAACTCCCCGCCGCCGTCCACAGCGCGTGCCGCCTTGCGTCATGGCGTCGCTTAGGCAGGACGTTGGCGGGTGTGTTGCAGTCAACGGCTCGCCGCCCTTCATCGTCGTGGCGGCTGCTTTCATGTCGCAGGACCTTGCCTCGAAACCGCCTGCCCTGGCCGTCACCATCTGTCAAATTCGACGCTCACCCGCTTTTTCCGTTATCGTGCGTGTTTTGAGATGAATTAATGATGCATATGCACATCAATGGAACATAAGGCTTCAAGGTGGCTCCCGCGGTTAATTGCAGCATGTTTACATTGATGGCAGACCTGTACGGTTATACAGCCAGCTGACTGCTTTTTTGAACCTATTCCCCGATTACCTGCAATGTTCTAACCGGTTCCAGGCGTTGATGCCATAGTCTGGCCTGCAGTGTACTGACCCCTCCGTAGCGGTGTGTCTGCAGTGTGCTGACCCCTCCGTAGCGGCGCGTCTGTAGTGTGTCGACCCCTCCGTAGCGGCGCGTCTGTAGTGTGCTGACCCGTCCGTAGCGGCGCGTCTGCAGTGTGCTGACCCTTCCGTAGCGGCGCGTCTGCAGTGTGCTGACGCCCTCCGTAGCGGCGCGTCTGCAGTGTGTCAACCCCTCCGTAGCGGCGCGTCTGCAGTGTGCTGACCTCTCCGTAGCGGCGCGCCTGCAGTGTGTCGACCCCTCTGTAGCGGCGCGTCTGCAGTGTGCTGACCTCTCCGCAGCCAGCCTGCAGTGGACGCGGCAGCCAGTGCCAGAGTACCGGCCGGCCGACCCGGCCAGTCCGCCCTTCCTGCGGTACGGCCACACAGCCACCGAGTACTCCGGCGCCGCCTACATCTTCGGCGGACGGAACGAGGCATCCGTCTGCAACCACCTGTACCGCTTCGACCCCTGTGAGTGTGCGCCGAGCGGCATTTGGTGCTCAGGGCGCGGCGCGCCTCTGCCGGCACCGGCTGCGGGGCGAGACTGTGGACGGGGAACCTGGCGCTCGGCTGATGAATAGTGGTGCGGTGGCTGCGTGCTATAGTGGTGCAATGGTGGGCAGTGGAAGGGGAGTTAACATGGCATTGTGTTAAAGAGCGGGTAGTCTTGAGATATAAGATATATCGCATTGCAGGCGTGCATAAGACTAGCATCGATCGTGATGCTGATTGCATGCTTGCAGATATGTAAGTAAGGAAATTATAAATGTTAGTGATTGGTTAAGAAGTTAGAACCGTTGTCATGAGATCCCGGATGTCTTTCCTTTTCCGCGGTTGGTATGCCCATCAGGTATGTCTGTCAAGCGTTCATTTGGTCAAGGTGTATTCTTGGATTCTTCTTCTGTTTAACGTATCTTTATAGTGTGCTCTGCTATTGGAGCACACTCTATAAAGAGTTTGTGCAGTCGTGGCAAAGCAAAAGCCACGTGGTCTTATGTGAGAATGATAATTAAACGTAAACACCTTGGCCTGGCCCGGCCCGGCGCAGCTGACCTTGGCCGCCACAAGCTGTGCAAGATAATCTCACAGGTCCAGAAGCCGGCATTGCGGGGACGTGGAAGTGTCGAAGGACCAAACACAAAAAGTGGGGAAATTTCGCCGACTCACGCGTCCGTCTCGGCGTACGGCGGGTCATGCGTACTCTAACGCGCGTAAAACGTGGGTACTCCGGCTGCGGACGTGTTGTTTACGCGTCAAGTTTCGGCGGCCCGGGCAGATGGCGCTTGAAACCGCCTGCGTATGTTGACGCATGTGCCGTTTATCATTTGCGGAGGCAGGTGAAGACGGTCGAACATGTGTGCTAGGTGCCAACTTCCGCCGAGGTCTCTACACGGACTGGTGAGAGACGCGTGGAGACGTCAGAAATCTGCTCCCTGCTGGTAAATGAGATCCCGAACTCATGACCTGCGACGTCTCAGATAGGCACGCCGCAGCAGGGCATTGACTCTCTGACAGCCGTTCGTGTGCGACGATCTGATGTGACGTCATAGGTACCTACTTGGTGACGACATTTGCCAATCAAGAGTGGGCCTATAGAAAATTAATTAAGAGTGCTATGTTTGGTTCCTTCAAGCAGTGGCAGTCGCAGTAGGTCTATTAACATGTTGACTCGGCTTGGCTCTTACCATTGTCGGCTGTCAGACTGGTCAGGTGACGAGCCTGAGGGACAAACACGTGTGTGTGTGTGTGTGTGTGTGTGTGTGTGTGTGTGTGTGTGTGTGTGTGTGGGTGTGTGCGTGCGTGCGTGCGTGCGTGCGTGCGTGCGTGCGTGCGTGCGTGCGTGCGTGCGTGCGTGCGTGCGTGCGTGCGTGCGTGCGTGCGTGCGTGCGTGCGTGCGTGCGTGCGTGCGTGCGTGCGTGCGTGCGTACGTGCGTGCGTGCGTGCGTGCGCGCGTGCGTGCGTGTGCGCGTGCGTGTGCGCGTGCGTTTGTATGTTGGACGCTGCGAACTCCCCCGCCCTTGGATGGATGCAGCCGCTGCGCTCCAGTGTGACCAGCGCCGGCAGCGTGTGGGTGAGCGATGCCGAGCGCGCGCCGCCCGTCCCGCTGACGAGGGTGGTGCCCCGGCGCCGGCAGTGTGTGGGTGACCGGTGGTGAGCGCGCGCCACCGTCCCGCTGACGAGGGTGGTGCCCCGGCGCCGGCAGACGTCGACAAGTGGAGCAGGATCAGCCACGGCGGCCGGGTGCCGAACGCCCGCGACGGTCACGCCGCCACCCGCTGCGGCCACTGCCTCTACGTTCACGGCGGCTACGACAACGACATGGAGGAGTTCTCGTGCGATCTGTTCCGCTACGACTTCCGCGAGGGCCTCTGGCACTGCTGCGCGCCCTGCAACCGCTGGCCGGGCATGCACCGCGACTTTCACGCGCTCTCGGCAGTGCACGACAGGCTCTACCTGTTCGGCGGCAAGTCGGACGAGGTGAGAGTCGGACGGACGCGGTGAGAGTCGGACGGACGAGGTAAGAGTCGGACGGACGAGGTGAGAGTCGGACGGACGAGGTAAGAGTCGGACGGACGAGGTAAGAGTCGGATGGGTTGCGTAAGAGTCGGGCGGACAAGGTAAGAGTCGGACGGACGAAGTGAGAGTCGGACGGAAGAGGTGAGAGTCGGACGGACGAGGTGAGAGTCGGACGGAAGAGGTGAGAGTCGGACGGACGAGGTGAGAGTCGGGCGGAAGGAGTGAAAGTCGGAGGGACGAGGTAAGGGTCGGACGGACGGGGTGAGCGTCGGGCGGACGAGGCAGCTGCCGCGTCGCCGACGTCGCCGTCGGGCGGAAAAGTAGCTTTGTGGTACTTCGTTAGCTGGCGTCAAGCCTTTGCTGAATCAACATTGGATGTCCCTATCGTGGTATGGTCGGGGGTCGATTTAGAACAGCGGATAGTGAAGCCTTCCTGGCTTCGCGGCCGGACCAGACCCGCTCCTGCCGGTTTTTTGGTCACGGAGCCACAGAAACGTCCGGGGCCACCAATAATCGCCGCATTCGACACGTCCTTTCAACTTTCCGGCTACCACTACAGCACTATCGTCCGAGCTCTCCGGCGGCGGTGCGCACCGGCGGCCGGGGCGGGGACCGGGCGGCACGGCTCGGCGACCGGCCGAAGTTAGCTGTTGTTCAGTGTGTGTCCGGCCCGACGAGGGGTCAAAGAGCAAACGCACGAACAGCCAAATGAAGTGAACGAACGGCAAATCCAGCGTGTCGCATTATGTACGGTCTACGCTGGAGGCTTGGCTGTCGTAGGTGGAGAATACGGCGTGGTAGATGTAGCAGCAACTACACCACCCAAAAGCACAATCGTACGTGTTCAGATGCATGCAATTTTAGCATTTTTCATGTTAGGATGATGGTTCGGGCAAGTTGGTAACACCATTGTATATATGCACTTTCCCCCGTGCTGGCTTGGTTTACGATTTTGGGCTCTGACTTCGCTGAGAGCATTCCGTGATTGTTCACTGAACGCTATCTCCTCAGGTACTTACGACTTTCGAACATAATTGTGGAGTCCGAGATTTTGGTCCCAAGTTGAAAAGGTGTCTACTTGGTTCATTTGATAGTCAAGAATTGTTGCAAACTCCCCGTTGGTGCGCCGGCTGTCCAGCGTCAATCGCATGGAGGGGATCATTTCGGAGCACCCCACCCTTGGTGCGCCGGCTGTCCAGCACCAATCGCATGGAGGGGATCATTTCGGAGCACCCCATCATCGGGCACCATCAGAAGCAAGGGGTCATCTTTCAGATCGTCCGCGATGCTAGAAACCACTTGGCAAACGAGTTATCAATCGCATGTCCCATTTTCACCGTCCTATTTCAGCGTATGCAGTATCGACAGGAACGTGGACAGCCCGCTCAAGGGCAGCCAGGTTATCAAGAGAAAGCCAGGTCTGCCAGATCTGAGATATTGTCACGACTCTAAAGGAATGCCTAGCTCCTTTTTTGTTATCATCATAATGAAATGGATGGCAATGTGACAAAGGATGGCCTGCTGCAGAAGCGTGCGTGACTTGTCACAGGCGGAGCTAGCGGTCTTCAGACCCGGGATTTACGAAAGGTCTCGGCTTGCTCCCAAAAGTCAGGGGGTCGAGGTTGCGGCTAATTCTGCGCGGCCAGACTCCTCGCGATCCGGTCACCCGCAACGTCTGGCGGCGGGGTCGGAGACCGGCTGAGATAGCGGCGGGGGGGGGGGGGGGGGGGGGGGGGGGGCTGCCCGCTGAATGTGGCGTGGTTTGAGCACCTTCTGCTGGTGCCGCGTGCGTTCCCTGCTTGTGAGAATTGGTGTAGAGGAAAGCGCTTCGTATTTGTACGAGAGGCTTGAACTCGTGGTGCAAGCCAGGTCTCTTCGTTAGCCTCGAAACATTTTAGTTTGTGTGGATTCCCGTAACTGATATATATATATATATATATATATATATCTATCTGTGTGTGTTGTGTGTGTGTGGTGTTGTGGTGTGTGTTGTGTGTGTTGTGTGTGTGTGCTGTGTGTGTGATTGTGTGCGTGTGCGTTTGGCCGCCCCCTGTGAGCGTGGCGTGTGAGTGTGCGTGTGCGTGTGCGTGTGCGTGTGCTGTGTGTGATCCTGTGTGTGTTAATATACAAGTATATGCATATATACAAATACGTGTATATATACATATATATATATATATATATATATATATATATCCCTCCCTCTTTTCCCTCCCCCCAACTTGAAATTCGTTTGTCGTACAAATCCCTGGAATTCCGCCCTTTCTCTATATCCCTGTCCGAACAAAAATCGCGGAGGGTGCACGCAGCACATCAGCAGCTCTATAACTAACTTTCCAGTGATCGCCTCCCTTCTCCAAACCGGTTCCATAACATTAGTGTTACAAAAACTCCTGTGGGCGCAACAGGACCTCGGCGGTCGGTGCACCCTCAGGCCCTAAAGCATTGGTATCAACAACAAATACTCGTACGGGCAGGAGTGTTACGACATTACTTATACTGCCAATACATACACACGCCATGATCATGATCTCTCGCCACTGGCCACTATTTCGGTGTGCTTTCTGAACTGTCACGTCTGAGGAACTATTTGCCCCCTATTGTTGTAGCTACGCGAGTGGACGCCTCGGTATTCTCTCAGATCTGAGACTTATTTCCAGTCTATGGCGATGACACGCAAATATATTCGTGGGATCCAAAAGTCATCAGCTTTGCGGCAAAAGGGATCGTTGGCCGGAAAAGCATCCATCCCGCTCGGGACCTGCTGGACAGATTCGCGTGGCCATCTGCAGCAGGCCCGGCCAGATTCCGCAGTTGACATTGACGCTTCTCCGTAACATACCACGTTCAAGTGAGCCAGAGGCCCTGGTCCTTGAGTTCCGAGTGAAACCCGAGACTGTCGCACGCGGCAGGGTGGAGATGTGTTCGTCCCGAGGTCACCCTCCGAGGTGGGTACGAGGTGTCTGTTCTGCCGAGCTGGTGCCCAGTGTGGTTCACTTCCCCGTGACTCGACACAGCTCCCTGTTGCGAGCTTTGCTTGTGCGACAAGGCGCCCTGAGTATCCGTACGAACCCCGGGTAAGGGCCACTGAGCGGGCCAAGACTCGTTAGCCGAGGTTTCCCCACGATGGCGGCCACGTTGTGCACCGTTCACCTCTCTCCTTAAAGCCACAGCCCGGAGTGACTTTCGGCCAATGCTGGCCAAAAGCACTCTAATCCCAACTAAATCAAACTCGATACTTGTTTCCCAAAATTTCTGGTATTCGCCTCAGCTCATTGGCCTTTGTTCTGTCGTGCAGAGGCGCGTGGCGGGTAGCGAGGAGAGCGTGACGTCTACCATTTGTCCGAAATCACAACACGATGACGGGCAGCTGCTTTCGATCGTTGTGCAGAAATTGTATTTTGAAGCGACAATTAAGGCGTATCTGGATTTTTTTGTGATTCAGAAGTTGTTCCTTGATGTTGACTAAGAGAAGTAATTCATTTCTCCATTTGTTCAGCTGACGCCCTCCATGACGGTTGTTGTTTTACACCATATAACATCCCACCCGTTATTACGCAATGGCAACGTATGGCTTTCACCGAAATGTGATGACCCTTTATTGTTTATGTTTAAAAACAACGGCTGCTTGCCAGATGCGTGTTGAGTAATGCAATAAGTGATGATTGTAGTGAGTAGGTTTTGACTCGTGCCGATTGCCCATACCAGTGCTGCTCACGGCCGATGGCTGAGTAATGCATGTGGTCGGACGGTGTGGCACGGTGGCCTTGTGTGAAGGTGAGCGCGTCGTCCTGCGTCTGCCGGCAGCTGGAGCCGTATTACAGCAACCGGCCGGTGTACGACAATCACCTGTACGTGTACGAGCCGGCCATGGACCGCTGGGAGCGGCGGGAGGCCAAGGGCGAGGCGCCCGGCGGACGCAGGAGTCACTCGGCCTGTGAGTGCCGTCCGGATCGGGCGGCCTGGGGCCGGCGCCGCGCCCTGTGTCGTCCCGGTCCGGGCCGGTCCGGCCCCGCACCCGGCGCCGCGCCCTGTGTCGTCCCGGTCCGGTCCGGGCCGGTCCGGCCCCGCACCCGGCGCCGCGCCCTGTGTCGTCCCGGTCCGGGCCGGTCCGGCCCCGCACCCGGCGCCGCACCGGCCGCCGTTCAAGGTCCCCCGGGCCGGCCCCGGATCGGCCGCGTCCTCCAGGTTTGAGCAGGCCCTGAAACCTGTTCAGTCCACTGTCGTATAGGACTGGTTTCCGCGTTTGGCTCTGAGAGCGCACGCGGTGCGTGCTCTCTGGAGCGTGCTTTGTGTGGGGTGACGCGCTTTTGTGGTACGTGTGCAGCTCGGCGTGATTGGGCAGCTGGCGTGACTGATCAGCCAGTGCGGAAAGTGCACGCGTGCGCCCGTCTGACCTTCGGAAACGCCTACAACTCGTGATAAATCATGGACCGATCTGCCTGGTATTATGCAGTGCTGGGCTTGTGGAATTACCGCACGGTGTAGACTTCCGTGTGGGCTTCCACATTCCACGGCCTCAGTCAGCTGTCGCAGGTACGCCTCTGTGTACTTATCGACGTCTTGCACAAAGTCCGCCGTTGTCGCCACATCTAATGCCGCTTACCGGCATGGTGACACCCCCACCCCGATCACTCTCCGCCTGCCAACTGGGCGCGTCGCCCGCCTGCTCCGGCCGTGACCCCAGTGCACCTCTCCCCTCCGCCCCAGTCGTGATCGACGAGAAGCTGTATACGTTCGGCGGCTTTAACTGCGTGGCCGGCGAGCACTACAACTCGGTGCACCAGTACGACCCGAGCGAGAACCGGTGGCGGCTGCTGCGGCCGCACGGCCGGCCGCCGCCCGTCCGTCGGCGCGCTGTCGCCTGCGTCCACGACCGCAAGGCCTACATCTTCGGCGGCACCAGGTCAGCGGCCGGGCCGCGCCAGCCCGACGACCTGCTGGTCCGAGGGGCGCGGGTCGGGGTCACGCTGGCTGGGCGGCTGGGGTGGGGTCACGTCACGGGTTGGGGAGGCCAGGTGGAGGCGGGTCAGGTCACGGAGAGTGGGCTCGCGTGGCGGGGGATCGGGCTGAGGAGTAGAGTGTTAGGTCAGGGACTGAAGTGTAAAGGTAAAGAGGCGGAGGTTGATGTTACGAGTTGTAGCCAGGTCCCAGACGAGAGATATCGCGAAATGCAGGACGAGGTCAAGCAGCGAAGGGTGCGGTTGCTTTGTGGTGAACGAATCACGTCGAAGGGGGGATGTTACACGGAGTTCAGAGCGATCTCATACGGTGCTGACGCCCAATTTTGTATAAACGCGCTGTGAAGTGCCCGCGTATGTGCCCGTAGGTCACGTTACGTGTAAAATGGCGCTTTTTTCTGATCAAGCGTTGGATGGCACTGCGGCCTGGCTGGGCAGCTGGCGCCCAATGGCCGCGTGCGTTCTAACAGGCCGAACTGTTTGCAGTCCGCTGATTGGCTCGCCGATCCCGCCGATGCACCCGGACGACGACGAGGAGCCGCAGGAGTCGCTCATCGACCACAGCGACCTGCACGTGCTCGAGATCTGTGAGTGTGCCAGGCTTTGGAGGTCGCCCGTAGGCCGCGCTCTGGCGCACGCAGCGCCACAGCCGGCGCCTGCTCCCCCTTACCGTGTCCGTCGGCGCGGGCAGGCGGGATGCCCGAGCATCGGCCTCTGCCGCCTCACAGCGGGCGACTGGAGCTATCTCAGCGCCACAGCCGGCGCCAGCTCCCCCTTACCGTGTCCGTCGGCGCGGGCAGGCGGGATGCCCGAGCAGCGGCCTCTGCCGCCTCACAGCGGGCGACTGGATGCCCGAGCAGCGGCCTCTGCCGCCTCACAGCGGGCGACTGGAGCTATGTCAGCGGCTGCGGGTGTCTACACCGCCGGCGTCCGTGGCTCACTGGTGCTGTGCCGTAGAGACGCGCCTTCTTGTGTTTCTCACCGGACGTGTTTGACGTTCACGGACAAAGAAGTCCTCGTAACGGCTTTCTGAACCGTGTGAAGCGCTCCTCTGTGGATACGGTGAGAGCGGCGCGGCTCGGGCACCCAGCAGCTGTGTTCACGTGCCGCCACTCAGTTGGATGGCCGGCCGTATCTGGTGACTACCGGTCGGCGCTTGGCCTGACGTGGCCAGATCTGCTCTGACCTGCTCTGACCTGGCCCGGGACTGCGTTGTTCCAGGTCCGCCGCTGCGCACCCTCTCCATGAACCAGGTGATGAGAAGCAAGCTGCCGATCCGGCCACTGCCGGTGTCAATCAGGTACGCCCGCCGACGCCCTGTGGCGTCGACCCAGCGGACGCTGGCGTGCTGGCGCCAGCAGGCTGCGCCGCCCCGCTGGGCTGGCGTGCTGTTGGGGAGGGGCGCGGCGTAATATTGCCTCGGACTGCAACACGCGGGAGGGGGCGCGTGCAGAGCAAGTGTAGTAACAGACACGAATGCGTTGCCAAGCGGAACAAGCGGCTTGTCTTTGTTCTGTGGTTGACCATTTCACGGCCGTTCTGGACTGGGCACCTGTGAGGACTGGCCTGTGACATTTGTAGGCAACGTCCTGAAGCGAAATTACAGTCCGTAAGCCGTCAACATTTGTTAACGTCGGCCTTCGAAAATCGCTAGAGTGACCGCGAATTATTCATGATTTCCCAGCGAACTGACGCGCTGTTGGGCTCTGTGTGGTGGCCTGTCGGGTACGATGTAGATCTGCGGTGTTCTGCTGCACGTTTTTGCATCGCACGCGGGCAGACGTCCACAACTTTAAAGCGGGCCGTTTGTCCAAGCGGCGTTGGAGTCACGTCAACGCCAAGCAAAGTTTGTTGCCTGGGTGCTGGCATGCCATCTAAATGGCCCGAGCCGTCTGGCCGTCTGGCCGTCTGACCGTCTGGCCGTCTGGCCGTCTGGCCGTCTGACCGTGACTGACGTCTGCCTCCGGTCCGGTCGGCAGGCGGGAGGTGGACCACCTGCGCTGCTCGCGCTGCATGTTCAGCCGCAAGCGATACGGCATGCAGTGGCCCTGCTCGCCGTCCGGACTGGCGGCCGAGCCGCAGCCCGATTACCACTGACGTCACCCGGCCGGCCGGCGCCGCCGCGCCCGGCGCAGCGGCGCCTGGGCAGCCTCTGGGCGCCTGTGAGCGGGCTCCGGCTCCCTGGCTGTCCCGGTCGGCGGCGGCGGGGATTGGCATCAGTCCTGCCTCTGGCCACGCTGGGCTGGCTGCAGCGCCGACTCCCGCAGTCGGCCAGCTGGCGGGGACGGGCGCCGTGTCGCGCCTGTCTGGCCGGCCGGCGGCGGCGCCGGTGACACAGTCGACGGATGGCGGCGTCCTCGTCCCGCATCAGCCGCTGCTGAGCCGATGGCTTCTCTGCAGGGGCAGCTGGTGGTCCGCCAGCCGAGCCTGCCGCCTGGACTGCGACTCGCCGCGGCCCCCGACTCCGCTGCTACTCTATCCTAGGCCAATTCAGGTGGCGTGTGGTTTTCTCCGGCAGCCATGACAGGTCTGCTGGAGCTGGGGGTGGAGACACCAGCACTCCGGGTTGCGGGGACAGGTGCCTCCACTGCCGGTTTGGGTTTGCTCGACTTGATTGTGATCTTAGTGTGTGGCACGTGCCTCGGTGCAGTTTCTCGTCGCCACAGCGGCACGGGTTTCTTCGGGGTGATCGTGCACTGCGCAGCTAGGTGTGGTTGTTTCATGGTATGGCGCCAGCAGGTGGCAGCCGGCCACCCGCCACCACTAGGTCTGTTCACGCCAACACTATTACGCTGGAGCGCAACTAGCGAAACCCGGAGCTGGTTGGCTATCAAAATAGCCGTACATTTTCACAACGGAGCCGCTTGCTTTTTTCATGTGGCTACTTGTCGTTTTACGTTTTTCCTTTATTGTTTGGCCCATAGGACCAAGCCCTCAAACGCGAAATGATGAATTGGTACATGAAAAACAAAAGCGCTTCCGTCATAAAACTCCGTTTGTTTTTCTTTTTTGCTACGCCTGACAACAGGCGATGGGTTCCGCGCCGGTTTATCCTTTTCTTCGTGCATTTCATATTTGGTGGCAGGGTCGTTCCCTGTCGGATAATGCTAACATGACAATAGTCATTATGTCGCCTCTCGCCGGCCAGCTCCGCCTGAGGCCGCTCGGCGTCAGGCGGGGTGATATTGCCCACGTCAGGTCCGGCCCGGCGGGGGCGGAGTGGCTCGGATCTCCCCCACCTTCGGCCTCTCCTACCGGGGACGCCTCCAGTCCCGCGTCCCCACCGCCTCAGGGGGCTGGGACCGGGCGGTTCTGTTCATTGTTTGTTATTCTGTTTGTTCGCCAAGCGTCGTATGATTTCGGTGGGCTGGGGGAGGCCGGTTGGCGCAATAGGATGCGTTGCGCGACGGGCGCGGCTCCTCCGCGGGGTGTGGGGCCGGGCGTCCCTCTTCTCTGCTGCGTCCGATCGGCAGGGGCGTCGGCCCTGGTCGCCACTTTGGCAGGGCGTTCCTGCGGTATACGGAACCGCATATCCGTGCACAGGCGACGGTGTGGGGCTGCTCAAGCGGGGAGATGCTGACGCCCGGCAGGTGTTGCGTTGTTCTTTGTGCTGCCCGACGACGGCAACGGGCAAGCGGAGCCGCTTCGAGGTGCTTGGCTAGCGGCGGGCGGTGTTAGACAGTTTGCTGGGGCATGTCTCGGCGTTTGGTAGGACACGTAGGGTCGCGTGGCGTCATTTGTGCGGCCCCGGCGTCGGCCCAGCGGAGAGGAGCGGCCGAGCTGCCTTCAAGAGTCGCCGTCCCGTGCCTTAGCCGTCGATGTCGCAGCTGCCATGTGCGCCGCGGGGCTCGTGGGACTCCCGGACGGTCCAGTAGCGTCATCAGGGATGTCACCGTGCGGGCATTTGTGTTTCGCCTCGCCTTGAAGTCGACATGGCCTCGTGTCTGCGCGTGCCAATAAATATCTGTGTTTCTAGCTTTACTCTGCACTCACATGGCATTTCAGTGGTTGTATTGTTTGTTTTCAGGTAGCGATATCAGGTGCTTTAATATTATCGCGCGGACATACAGCATAACTGGCAGTTGCGTGGCTCCGGGGGTGTTGAACACCGCAATCCGGTGGCGATGAAGCCGGGTCGTGGCAGTATCTGTTGCATGTGTTTCACTGTGGGTGGTCGCGTCCGCCGACAGCGTACGTGGCGCTCGACTCTTGACTCGCTGCTCGGACACTGCGGCGGACCTGTGCTGGTGATGACGGTGACTTGTGCTCGGTTGAGCCGCGCGTGACGCGTGACGCCCGTCTGCCCAGTCCGTGACGCGCTGACCGTGACGCCGCGTGCAGCGCCTCCGAGTTATCCGTAGCGTAGTGTTGGGGACTGGTTCTGCGGTGACAATACATACTATGTAGAAGTTGTTCGCGGCGGGTTTGTCTGATGACCGGATCGGCGCTGACATCCTCGGCACATGTCACCGTTTGTCAGCCGAAGTGTCTAGCTGCCATTTACCAACAGTATTATTGTCAGAGGGTGTGGGAGTAGGGTGGGATCGATTCCTACCTCAGGCTAGAAGGGGGGCTGTGGCGAACGTGATGATCTCTCTCTCTCTCTCTCTCTCTCTCTCTCTCTCTCTCTCTCTTCTCTCGCTCTCTCTCTCTCTCTCTCGCTCCCTCCTCCTCTCTCCTCCTCTCTCTCTCTCTCTCTCCTCTCTCTCTTCTCTCTCTCTCCCATTCCCCGTCGTGAGACGTGCCCCTCTTAGTTTTCCTTTCTTCTCTCTTCTCCGAACCCTCTGTCCGCTCACCCACGATTTTTAAAAAAGAAACATCTGTCCATTCTCTTCTTCATTCTCCATTGTTCTCTCTCTCTCTCTCTCTCGTCGCTCTCCTCTCTCTCTCTCTCCTCTCTCTCTCCTTCTTTCTCTCTCTCTCTCTCTCTCTCTCCATTCGACGTTCGTGAGACGTGACCTAAGTTTCGAACCCGTGTCCGACCACGATTTTTAAAAATAAAATATGTCCATCAAATTTCCCACTGGGCAACGGCTGTTCCATGGGCACACAAGCCGCTACCAAAGTGCTCTCAAACCGCTCCATAATTTTACTGTAGCCTGTTAGCCAAATCATGCCCCTGAGTTTTAACGGGCCGTCCGGACGACGCGGCCGCATGCAGACAAGTTCTCGTTTGAGAATTCCAAGTCTGATGAAAATCGAACGGGCGTGGTGCTGCGCTCCAGATCCACTGCGTCTGAGGCGAGCCGAGAACGGCGCGCTGCCCGCCTGAGTCGGACAACGGGACTGGAGTTAACCATCTTGTGCTGGGTTTTCGCCGTGGAAATCCGGGGTACCGGTGAACTGAAGTCGTTTACCTAATTTCACAGACTCGGTGCGCATTGACCAACGTTAAAACACATGTGAGAACGGGTTCATTGCTGGTACGAGAAGCACCTGCGCAAGTACATGTGCTATACGGTAAGGCATTACACATCATGACTCGACCACCAGTGTTTTACAGTAATAACTAGCTTACGCTTTCCGAAAGCACAGGGCTTCTCAGCGAACGCGGCGCGTCAGCGACGGTCGCCTGACCGTGCGAAGCAGCGCTTCCCATAGCGGTCCAATACAGTCAGTTAAAACGCGCGGTGTCACGAACAATACAGAACAGAGGTGAACAGGACCAATGACACAACGGCGTGATACGTTAAAACATGGCAGTCTCCGACGCACGACTCGACGTTTGACTCCGCGGACACCTGTGACGGACAACACCAGCGTGAAACGTCGCGTTTGATCGGTCCACCACGCTGACAACTATGGTGATGCGTCCTCCACATAGCACCGACGCCGTCAGCCCCGACAGCCGTGCACACCTGACTCCGGCGCGGCCCGTGACGTCACCAGCCCGGCGGCCGGAGCTGTGACGCCGCTGACGGGGCGGCGGCGGCGCTAGACGGTGGCCGGCGGCCTGACGCTGCGGACACCGGCGACGTTCTCGAACCGGGCAGCCATGTGGCGGATCTTGCCGACGTCTGGCGCCGATTGCTGCCGGGTGATGACGGCGGGCGACCGTCGGTCGGCCGCCGCCTCCCCATCGGCAGAACCGCGCTGCGCCCGGCTCCAGCCAGCCACGCGCTCCCGCACGTTGATCTCCTCGGTCGGGTCGCGCGCGGCGGCGGGCGACGCTGGCAGCGGCAGGCGCAGGCTGTCGGCCCCGCCTCACCGGCCGCGGCGGCGACGGCGGCCCGGCGGCCGGCGAGGGCGAGCGGGCGGCGCCCGGGGCGCGGCGCGGCTCGGGCCCGTCCCGATGGAACCCGTCCGAGCTGTAGCGCTGCCGGAGAAGGTCACGCCGCTCCTGCTTGTACCGTTCGATCCTCTCCCGCGCCGCGGCGTCGCCGTTGGACGCCAGCCGAGCTGCCGGTGCCGGGTCGGCCTCTATCGCCCGCCGCGACATCGCGTCGTCTCCGAAGGACATCGGCGCCGATGATCCGTCCAGTCGGCCGGCCGGGGTCGCTTGGATCGGCCCCATCGCCACTGCGGGGTCGGCCGAAGACCTGGAGCCCGGTGTCCGCCCGGACGCATCCGCTACGCCGTTCGTCAGGCTTCTGCGGCTTCCATATAGCCCAGAGCCGCTCCGACGCCTGCCGGCCTCCTCGCAGCCTGAGTCTGCCCGCATCGCGTAAAACGCCGACCCCGCGCTCTCTTCCCACCGCGCGCGGAGCGAACTGGTGCCGCTGTGCGTCTGCCAGGCGCCAGGCCGCGCTACCGACTGAAACGACAGGTGGCGCCGCACGGGTCGCGGCGACGGCGGCCGGCCCTCGGACGCCGGCAGCGACCTCTTGCGGCCGGGCGAGCCGGAGCGCCGCCGCGTGGCCGGCCGCGGGCAGCGAGCGCGTGGCCAGCGCGTGCGGCCCCGCGCAGCGGCGAGTGGCCGTGCACGGAGCCGACGGCCCGCTCGATCAGGCGCAAGCTGTGCTCGCACACCTCGGACAGTACCAGCTTCTTCGCTGCTGCGCGCCTCGAAGCGCGACAGCAACTGGCGCACGCTGGCGCGCCGCTCACTGAGCCGACGCAGGTCACTGCGCAGATCGGCACGCGGGTCGGCGCGCGGCAGAGTTGCCGCCGGCTCCGGGAGGCGGCTGGGTGCCGGCGGCGCGTGCATCGGCGAAGCGCCTGGTCCGGCCGACTCCGGGTGTGGAGCTGATGAGGACGTTTGCTCCAAGCGACGCTCTGCAGCCGCCGGGCGGGACGCCTCGCCGGCCGGCCTGCGCGGCCAGTGTGGGCCACCGCTCCGGACTGTCGAGGCTCCCAGGGCTGTGCTGGATGCTGGAAGCGTCTGCGAGCGGTCCATTGGTGGGCGACTCCATGCCCTCGCCACCGACGGCTGGCCTGTTGCCGCACAGGGTGTTCTCGGGTCAGCAGATACCGACCCGTTCTCGGCAGCGGCGCACAAACCGCCGGCAGGGGCAGCATCAGAAGTATCTCCAGCAGAAACGTGCTCCTGCGACTGCAGACTGTTAACCTCTAGAATCTCAGCCTTCGCTTCATCAGTCTTTCCAGGCGGAGGGCCTGTCCGGTGCGTCGCACGACGCCCGCCGAGTGACCGCACGTGGTCCGTCCTGAGACGAGCGGCTTTGGTGCATGACTCAGCCGGCTCCCGGGCCGTCGGTCCCAGATCGACCTCGACCACCTCCGAAGGCATCCGCCTGACGAGAGCGGGGGCAGCTCTAGCACAACCTCACGCTCGGATAGGTTCGCCCAGCTACCTGCTCCGGGATGACTCGTTCTGACTGGTGCGTGATGGCTCCAGCCCGCTGTGTGCGGGCAAGTCATCCCCGGATTCCGTACCGTCTCCTGTATCGGCCTGTTGCGCAGGCTCCAGTTCTGCTCTCGACGATGGTTTCCGGCGATCAGCCGCCACGCTCTTCTTCGAGTCGGTTGAGGCTGGCCGGTTCCCATCCGAAAGTGGAGCTGGAGTCTGCACCGGCATCGGTACCGGTCCAGTCCGCAGGCGCCACCAAAGCCTCACTCGGGGGTGCGACCGAGGAGGCGGCAGCCATGTGCTCACCGGCACAGGAGTCAGCCCCATCCGACTCACGGAAAGTTCATCCGAAGATCCCGACGAGCGTTCGGTTCTTCTCCGAGCGGCGTTCCGTCAGCCGACCTCAGTGTCACTTGAGTTCCCTCCAACAGACTTGGCAACAACCTGGCACACATCTAGCCACCGCAGCTCCATCTGTGAACCTTTCCGGCGAACCAGACACCCTCTGGGACGCATCCGGCTAAACCGCTGATCCACCTTGAGATTTCTTTGGTGACTCCAACGTACTCTGAGGAATTCGACGACGGTTTTTAGCGGACACTTGCCCCGATTCCGACGTCATCCGCCCCTGGCACCACAGAGGCTTGACGATCGAGTTCACTTCCTGCAGGAGCGGCGGAACTCGCGCACCTGCTGGTACACCTCGTCCCCGGCGCGCGCCACGCACACCGGCTCGTACTCGCGCTTCGCCTCGTCGGCCGCCGCCTGCCCCAGCCGGCGCCACGTCCTCGTAACCCAGCGCTCGTCGGCGTCCGCCGGCGCAGGTTCGCGTACCGCTCACCGTCCACATTTTTCGTACGAGAGATGCTGCGCGAACGTCTCGTTCTCGTACGTCTGGCTCTCGAACATCTCGCGTTCGCCCGGTCGCGTCGGCACCGCTCCCGCCGGAGAACTGCACCAGCTCGTACGTCGCGTCGACCGCGGGCACGGCCACGTTCTCGTAGTTCTCGCACGACACGTTTTCGTACGTGTCGTCTCGCGGCGGGACATGGCCACCCGCGATGTTCTCCTGATCGGCGACGGTGCCGGCGCCCAAGCGGCGTTCCAGCAGCTCGAGCGCCTCCGGCACCAGGCCGTGAAGCGGGCCGTCGGCCACTGCCCGCTCGGCGACCGCCTCAGGTCCGTCCTCATCAGCGGCGCTGCGCTGGAAGCTGCTGGGGTCGGTGAGCTGCGCTCGAGCGTCCAGAGGAAGCGGCTCCGGCGCGAAGCCTCGCTCTTCTGCTGCCACCTGCCGGCCGCCGGGTGGCTGTTACCGGCGTCGTTTCGCTGTCCGCCGGAAGCGAGGGGGCGGGTGGTTGCCGAGGCGGGTGTCTCGCCGGCGGCCGCGTCTTCGCCGAGGGGTGAGAGGCGGCACCCGCAGCGGCCAGCGGCGACTCGGCCACAGGGTGTGAACGCAGCGTGGTCAGACCACGCGCGTCCTCCTCGGCCGGGGTGACCTCCTCTCGCTCCTCGTCCCCATCCTCCGCCTCCTCCAGCCGGCCGCCGCGGGGAGGCCGCTTCGGCGGCGAGTTCTCGCTGAGGTAGGAGTCGTGTGAGGCGGAGCGGTCGGAGGTCGTTCTGTCGGGTCGAGTCGGAGTCGGAGTCGAAGTCGGGGGAAGTCGACCTCGAGACGGGCGGCGTCGGCGGCGACGGTTGCGGTCACAGTGTCAGCGTCGGCTGACCGGCGTCCAGCGGTCTGCCGGAGGTGGACACCGTTACAGTACGGTGGCAGCTTCTACCAGCACTAGGGGCTGTGACACAGAAATGATGACCAGACAAGAAGCAATATAAAAAACACTGCACGTTGTATGAACATTATCAAAGATCCACATTGAGTCGACTAAAATAATATTTGTTGCCTACACAGTGGCATTCCGCCCGCTCACGGCATTTGAGGTCACTCACCTCGGAGTTGTGCCGACTCTCCGGCTTCGGGGAGACGAGTGACTCGGCCGACCTCACCGAGCGCAGTCCCTGGGTCATGACCCGATTCTGACCTTGACTCAGGTCAGACTCAGTCAAGGTCCGGTTCTGTAAGTCGCATCCAGCAATATTTTAATAATGGCTTTGCATTGGTGATACGGTGGTGCCTTTGCAATAATTCGCACGGCATTCGCACAGCAGGGAATAACAACACATCAAATAGTCATAATACGAAAGCATACGCTGGGGCCATCACACAGCACCTACTCGCACTTTGGTCCTAGGCGATTGAAAGGCCTCACCCTAAAGTGCTTGGCCTCACCACGACAGCGACTGACGTCGCCACGTCCGTCCGTGCGCCGGACCCAGGGACGTCCGCGCCTCGAGGCAGGGCGCGCACGGGACCCACTCGCTGGCACCCAGGGACGTCCGCTCATCGGGGCAGGGCGTGCACCAGTCTCACTCACCGGCACCCAGGTACGTCCGCTCATCGGGGCAGGGCGCGCACGGGACCCACTCACTGGCACCCAGGGACGTCCGCGCCTCGGGGCAGGGCGTGCACCAGTCTCACTCACCGGCACCCAGGGACGTCCGCGCCTCGGGGCAGGGCGTGCACCGACCCACTCGCCAGCACCCAGGGACGTCCGCGCCTCGGGGCAAGGCGTGCACCGGACCCACTCGCCCGCACCCAGGGCCGTCCGCGCCTCGGGGCAGGGCGCGCACCGGACCCACTCGCCAGCACCCAGGGACGTCCGCTCATCGGGGCAGGGCGTGCACCAGTCTCACTCACCGGCACCCAGGGACGTCCGCGCCTCGGGGCAGGGCGTCCACCGGACCCACTCGCCAGCACCCAGGGACGTCCGCGCCTCGGGGCAGGGCGCGCACCGGACCCACTCGCCAGCACCAGGGCCTCGGGGCAAGGCGTGCACCGGACCCACTCGCCAGCACCCAGGGACGCATTCCGCGCCTCGGGGCAGGGCGCGCAACGGACTCCACTCGCCAGCACCCAGGGCGTCCGCGACTCGGGGCATGGCAAGAACTGGGCCACTCGCCAAGTCGAGGGACGTCCGCCCCTCGGGGCAGGGTGCGTACCGTTTAGTGCGATTGTTCGACGGGCGACGTAGCCGCGTCGACGCCGGACGCACACAGTCAGCGTTCGGCGCAGGCCCTGCCGCGAGCGGATCTGGCAGGCTGCGGAACATGGGAGCGCCATGGCCGATGGGGGCGAGGCCGAACTTGAGCGAGCCGGTACGGGGCCGCGGCGGCCGGCGGCTCGGAGCAGCCGTATGGTACTTGGCCGGGACGCGGACGGCCCGCCGCTGCAGACACATCGCCGGAGTGGGCGGCGTACCGCCGTCACCCGACCTCCCGGGGGCAGGGGTTACCGCTGGGTTACCAACTCGCTGCGGCGGCAACGGCCGGCTTTGTGGTACGGGTTCGGGCCCTGAGTGATGCCCGGCACGACTGCGCCGGCTGAAGTTAGACGAGTGACGATACATCAGCAATACTTTACGGTTCGTTCCTCTGAAGAAAAATGGCAGAATAACGAACCTGTACACGTCTGGCTATGCAAAACCCATGCATGTATGAGGACGGGTGCTGGCAACAATATGAATGTATGCATCGACATTATAACAGAAGCATCAACACAACAGACCGGAAAATTAACGTTGCAAGGTTACATATGGTTCATGTAGCTTTTACTCAAACCAAGCACAGCGTGGAAGCGTAAACAAATAAAACACCAGCATGTCCTTTAAACTTGGCGAAAGCGTTTTCATAATTAGAGTGGTTTACAAAGCAGCAAGCGAGCGGAAAGCCACATATCAAGGGCCTCATCGCCCACCGTACCGATAACAAGTCAGCAAAACACGACCTCGACTGCTGTCGGTCAGACTGGCGCCTATTTGACCAATGCAGGAGCCGGCACTACGAGCATGCAGGGAGCGCGTGTGGCCCCAGCAGCGGAGGGATATGGATAGTAAGCGTTTAGCAGACAGTAAGCTCCAACGTACCGAAACGGGAGACCCAGAGACGAAGACCGTGTGATGAGTGATGATGAGGAATGGGTGGTGGCAGGCGAGGGTGAAATGCAAGGAAACAGGGAGCACGCTATCACAGGGAGGTCAGATTCGTAGTCGAGACGTCGTCGCGGCGATGTCTACGGGGAGAGAAAGAGACAGATAGGCGGATGGCTCACTTCCGTTTGGACTCGTTTGGTCTCAGACTCTGACCAGCCTACAAGCTGACGCCAACGATCAAGCAGAAAGTAAGGCCTCAACCGACGAAACGTGGCGGAAGGCCGAGCGACCGAAGACAGCAGGAACTGGCGCAGAAAGCACTACAGGAGCGGCCCATTTTCAGAGCGGCCATCCCAGTCATCAAACACCCTCCACCGCCACCACCGCGCCCACGATCAGCTCACCCTCCTCCTCCTCCGTCCCTTCATGCACTCACCGACTTCAATGTAGTTCTGGTCGGCCTTGGCGGGCGAGCCGAGCGCGCGCGCGCGGGCCTCCTCCAGGCTGAGTAACTTGGTCGGTGTGGAGATGGCCAGTGAGCGCGGACGCGAGCGCTTGGTGGCGCGCGGCAGCGACGGCTGATCCGGAGCGAAGGCCGGCAGCTTGTCGCTGAAGATCAGCTCGCTGTACCGGATCAGGTACTCTACCAGCACCGCCTGCACCCCAATACCCTGTTGCCAGAGGGCAGGGGTCAGGGGTCAGGTACTCCACCAGACTGTGCCGACCAGGTTATCAATGTTCCAGTTGGCATAATACAGGGTGGATATGTGCCGTACTCCAATAATACCAAATGCCGAGCAAGGAATGTTCACCTATTAAAACCACACCGACACACCATGCAGACACGCTGACTGCGGCTGTGATCCAATGACGTCATGACGCCAGCTGGCGACGCCACCGACCTGTAGCGCGGCCACGCCGCCGGCCTCGAGCTCCTGGCTTCGCACCAGGTTTGGTGCCCAGACTATGGCCAGGTTTTTGGCCGTCATGCCGGTGCTGTGCGAGTGGGTGGAGACCCGCGCCAGGTGCCGGACCAGGTACTCCAGCGTCCTGTGGCAACGGTCGAGGGGGTCACACGCGGCAGAGATCTCTGTGTTTTGGATTTCCTTGCGCACAGATCGCGATATTTGATGTTGCCGTGACCGTAGCAGTGTGGAAGATGGTACCTGGTTGTGGCAGTACTCGTGTTGTTACCGGAGACCCGCCATAGCACCGACGGTAGCTGAGTGAACACCAAATGCCGCTTGGTAAATATGTGAGTCGAAGCGTCCTGCAATGGTGCACAATCGCCCGCTAAGCGAGTGACCGCGCCAAATCGCAAGGGTTCTAAGTGCAGTTCCTCTTTAGTTATAAACGCGTCAACGCACGGCAGAAGCCGTAGTGTCTACTGCGAACGAGATAACCGTGGAGTTCTGCTGCTACATTCAGTCCCACAGGCTGCAGGCAGAGGCCGTACCCGCCCCCGCCCCGCTGACCTGTAGTGGGGCGGCGGCAGCTGCTGAACCACGTCGCGCATGCGCAGCAGTCGCTGGTCGTCGCTGCTCTGAACGGCGGCCACGAACTTGTCGTACAGCTGGTAGGTGAGCAGCGGGTTGGGCAGCTCGCGCAGGTACTGCTTCAGCAGGCAGGAGACGCTGTGGATGTCCTGGCGCACGCTAGGCTCCGTCAGGTCTGGCACCCGGTCCTCGTCGAACGTGTTCCTGTGGGGGGGGGGGGGGGAGACGTCACGCAGCGGTCAACACAGACGGCGGGCGGATGACGTCATCAATCTTCAGAGGAGATCGCGCGTCTGGCCGTCACGTGATTTAAGATCAACCATCCAATCCAAGCAGAATACTTGGTACGAGCTGAGCGGCAAAGCGGCCTTGCGCCACGACCTTCAGAGCGCATTCTCAGCGAAGGACGTGTTCATTTCAGGCGAATATTTGCGGTAATTTATATAATATTTACAATATATACATTAAATGCAATATATAATACAACATATATATATATATATATATATATATATATATATATATATATATATATACACAATACAACATATAATAATACAATATAATATTTGTACAACAATTGGGCCAACAGACTGGTGGCGAACGGGTCAGGCCGGTGAGTGACAGCTGACCCGCCACACAGCTGGCCGTATGAGCTCATCACGCGTCACGCAAAAGTTTTCGAGAGACGCGTCGTCGCGTATCGTCACATATCACATATCGCCACGTGCACGTATGGTCCGTTCGCAGTCTGCATCTTACGCAAAATGCGGTTTCCGGGCGGTCACACGCGGAACAACTGGGCGTGATTTCATTCCGCGTGTCTGTCGGGCAGACCCCAAAAAGACAAAATATTTTCTCTTAAGTCCAGCCGCCAGATACCGGTACGAGATCTTCAAAGATACCGTCACAATCCGCACGACACCGGGTGCTGTCATCGCCCGCTGGCGGACAGCCTGTCTGTTGGTCCGTGATCTCCGGTCTCTCCCTGCCGCTGGCCCGTCAGTAAGTCGATCGCCCAGGACCGCCGCCGCGATGCCGCAGCTGACTGATGCGCGTGTCACAGCACGCGGGACGGGTTTTGTTCAGGGCTGGCTCGCCTCGCCGGCTCTTCAGCCCAGCAGACAAAGCTGGGGATTGGCCGCCGTTACGGCGTCGAACTGTACAAACCAGCGTCCGCGGCAGTGGGTTTGTGAGCATGGTCTGCCTTTGAAGAGACTCCGGTTCGGTGAGCCCTCCCGAGACCCCGCCTTTCCCTGCGTCGACGGAGCGATCCTCTGGCTACCGGACCGGTATATCTAGACAGGTCTTCTGATAGGACGCTTGCGTCGGCGGCGATCCAGTCAACAAACGAGAGGTCAAAACCGTCTCATGGACGTGCCGAGAACATTGCCTTTGTCATGGACCAGGCATGTATACACGTGTATGCGTCCCGGAGAGTGTTCTGAATCAGCATCGGATCAGAAAAGCTTACGCCGAGGGGTAGCACATACGTCCGTCATTCGTCGCTGTACGACGAGCCACCCGTCTCTCCAGACAACAGACAATCAAACGGGCAGTCGCTAGCAGCGAGGTCTCCACTGAGCCTGTCAATATTCAGTGCGTTGGTCTGTCAGTCACTTAAGTCTGTCAGCTGTGTTAGTCTGCCAGCCACTTCAGTCTGTTAGTCGCGTTAATTTGCCAGCCACTTTAATCTGTCAGTTGCGTTAGTCTCTTGAACGTATAGGTCTGTCACCCGTGCCAGTCTGCCACCTGAACTGGTCTGTCAGTTGCGTTTGCCTGCCAGTCAGTCAGTCTATCTGTAAGTCTGTTCATCGCGTCCCGGGCGTCCCCGCCGAGCTGCAGGTGTGACGCCATCGCCGCCGTGTCCCGCGGAGCCGCAGGGTCAAGGTCGCCGTCTGTTGGCGGCCCAGCTGCACAGCGCGTCTGCCGCTGCCGCCGACAGCCGTCTGTCGCCCAGCAATAACTCAGCCAGAGCGTGATGGAGACCGCGTAAACAGAGATGTTCGTGCGAGCCCGCCGCCGGCTCAGGGTCATCCCGCGTGTTCAAAAAGCCCGCATTCGATCCTGACCACCCTGGGATGGAGCCCACACCGCGTTGCATTCTCTGCAGGCTCGCGGTTTGGTGGAAACTCTGGTCAGCGTTACACCAGTCAGCCAGGAGAGAACATTTACATACAAGCTCCATGGCAAGCGCATTGTTTTGTTCGAACGACAGGAAATGTCAGCTCACAATGGCCAACGAAGGTCAACACAGGCCAGTGCGGCCGCGCAGCACCAATGTGCTGCACGAAAAACCCTTCGCGGTCCTAACACGTAAAGGAGTGGGACGAGATAATCCGTTCAACTAAAAGCCACAGCTTAGAATCTGTATTTGTCTAGTGCTCTCAATCTAGAACCACTCATGGAAGCGATTCCGAAAATGTAAAAATAACAATAAATTGACGCGACAATGAGAGCTAAGCTGGGTCAGGGGTGCATCTCCAAGCATCGATCGCTGTTCGGAACCAACCGCGTCCAAGCTGGGCGTCGTATCTAGCGAGTCAGCCAGCGTGGGAGAGAGCACGAAGTAACAAAGCAGCTAAGCTCCTGTGAGACCGTCACAAGCAGCCTTCTTAGACAATCACCAAATTATCATGATTGATGAAGCGCTCCATTCGGAGCCTGAGTGCCAGTGCGAGCCTTGTACTCTAAGCCACGGCCTCTTACGGGTATTTCTCGTCATGATCCTGTCGCTTTGTTCGCTGGTATTAGAGCCTCAGGACGCTGAATGCATGAAAACGGCGCAGGCCGACGCGCGACGAAAAGCGCGGCGTCAGGCACCTGGGATGCCATCCTGGGACATCCGCCCCACCGTGACGCGTGGGACGGGCGGTACGCACCTGAACCGCCGGATGTTGGACGTGACGGGCGGTACGCACCTGAGCTGCTGGATGTTGGACGTGACGGGCGGTACGCACCTGAGCCGCTGGAAGCTGGACGTGACGTGTCAGATGGGCGGTACACACCTGAGCCGCCGGATGTGTGACGTGACGCGTCAGATGGGTACGCACCTGAACCGCCGGATGTTGGACGTGACGCGTAGGACGGGCGGTACGCACCTGAACCGCCGGATGTTGGACGTGACGTGCGGTACGCACCTGAGCCGCTGGAAGCTGGACGTGACGCGACAGATGGGCGGTACACACTTGAGCCGCCGGATATTGGACGTGATGGGCGGTACGCACCTGAGCCGCTGGAAGCTGGATGTGACGCATCAGATGGGCGGTACACACCTGAGCCGCCGGATATTGGACGTGATGGGCGGTACGCACCTGAGCCGCTGGAAGCTGGACGTGACGCGTCAGATGGGCAGTACGCACCTGAGCCGCCGGATGTCGGACATGATGGGCGGTACGCACCTGAGCGCTGGATGTGGACGTGACGCCTGAGAGCCGTGTAGATGCCGTCCACGATGCCGTGCGCCTCGATGAACTCGGCGCAGCTCTTCAGCACCACCGGGACTGCGGAGCGGTCGACGCCGGATCAGCGTCGGCGGCGGGGCCCCTCCAGCACATGGGCTCACAGCCACGACCAGACGCGAGCCGTGCCCAATCATGGACACGACCGGCAGCTGGGCGTGCGTGATCGTGATATGGGCGTGATCACAGTCACGTGCATGCTTATGTTAGTGTAAAATAGTACATTTTCTTACATGATCATAGCAGTTTACGGATGTTGCGCGGCCTCGCACACGACCATGATGGTGTACTCAAACAGCGTTTTTAAAGAATGCTTTGATGATCGTTTTCGGACAGTTCACCACCACACTTCACGACTGTACACGGCCGCCAGCACTCACTGTCGCTGCACTTCATATGACCAACACGGTGACAACTGCACTCAGGCACCCAGGCAAGGCGAACATGTGGCACGACCCGGGACAGAACAGCTCGGCAACAGGCAACGTCAACATCCAAACGGAAGCACAGTCGTCATCAAGTTGGCACTGGGAAGAGTGGCAGCCTCATCCGTACAGGACAGCGCGGCGTGACATAGCGGCGGTGGCGGCTGCGCACCGGACAGCACGGCGTCACACAGCGGTGGCAGCGGCTCACTCACTGTCGTGTCCCGAGTTGAACAGATGCTCGCCCAGGTCGCAGCCGAACACGCGCTCACGCAGGATCCCCGACTGCTTGAGGCGGCGCCGCGACGGCCGCGTCTGGATGAAGCTCCTGCAGCACGTCATCACGCCGCCGTCAGTCCAGGCCGGCCGCCGACACGGCACGGCACGGCATGGCGCGACACGACACGGCACGCCGCCCGGAACGGCGTCGACACGGACGGCGGCGCTGACGCCAGGGGCGCACTCAGCGGCGGGAGGGAGGGGTGCGCGGCGCACTCGCTGGGGATGACTCCAGGCGGCGACGACGTTTGATGGGGGTGAGGCTGACCAGGAACACATGACTACAGTCTCTTCCCTCCCCTCCCCCCCCCCCGTACTCGCTGCTGGTGACGCCCCTGGCTTCCGCTGGTGACGCATTGATTCCTTTTCGTATGATCCATACCCGAAGCCAATTTAGCGCAGTCCAGGCGATAAATGAGGTCCGCTGTCGAAGAGCTTCGCCGAAAAGCCACCTTGAGAACTTGATTACGGACTGAGGAAAAACAATCGCTGGAAATGTTCGCATACTGCGCGGTCCAAACACCAGCCGTCCGCGTCCACCATGTTTAAAATTGCACGCGGAAGCGTCTAAAGCTCGTGGCCCGTCCGTTCATATCAGAATTCATTACTCAACGACTTCTGGTCTGTTAAGAGACATTTGGTTGCATGTAAACAAAGACATGGTGTGTTTACACATGTAAACACACGCCAAACTGAGACCCATGGTCATGATGATTATAACGTAGATTCAAATATTGTGTGGCGGTTGCACGTGTTTTACTGACGCCATTTGTCAGTTACGTGCAATGTGAAGCTCATTTTTTACGTGCGCTGTCACCATAAAACGAGGTGAAAAGCAAGCGGACAAGAATGGTCATGGCGTAACGGAATTTGTAAAGGGGGGTGACTAATGCATCGACACGAAACATTCAGCCATGGCTACGGATGCTGTTTCAGGAGAATGCAAGGACTGGCATTGTCCTGCTTCCTAACAGATGCCGAAATTTTCCAGTCCTAGCTCCTTTCAGAAACGCCCGCCGATATCGCGAAACAGCTTCTTCCTATCAGGCAATATAACACTCATGGTGGTGTCATCATCCATATATTGGGCCTGTTCAAGGACAGAACCCCGATCTTCTGTCACAGCTTCGGTACTGACCACGCATTGAGCACTCCCCCTAATCTGATTTTTAGATGGGAACTCTGAGGCGCAGCGTCAACACCTGAATGACACCTGCATTGTCGTGTTCTGCAAACTCATCCACACCGCGCATCGCGTACTTCCCTAAGCCCAGCCTCGTCCTTTATACTTCAGACTTGGATGTTTGACGAGGATCGCGGTATGCACAGGCCCTCTATGTTAAACATAATTGATAATTGTGTTTTCCCTTTTTGGCATCCGCATCGCAGTTGTGCGCTGAATTTAACTTACAATATGTTTACGGTTAAACTTGACTGATAAGGCCTGCAGACCATAAGCTGACCATCGCTAGTGCACGCCAGAGGTAAAACATGTCCGCATCACGCTCACAGCTGATTATCGCACTAGTCGAACAGCGTAGCCCGGTATTTTATATCGGTGTGATGTAAGACGGGTCGCGGACGGTATTCTGGTTCCAACTGGGGTGCACCTAAATTGAAAGTCTGGGTGCAGAAACACCACCAAAGCCAGTCCAGATCATGCCGCCATACAAGGACGGAACGGGAGAACATAGCCATAAACAGGCGCGCCACTAACAAGCACCAAACCGACTGGATAACAAAAACACGATTGGGTACGAGAAAACAAAGCTTACCGTACAAACGCACCCAAGCAGATTCAGAGAGAGAGTACACTACAATTAAAGGAAAGCTAAACAATAGCCGGGCACGCAACCGAACAGCCCATAAAACAAAGGGGCTCTGTGTGGAACGGGGCAAAGCGACACGCGACCATCCACGCGTGCACTCCGTCACCATGCCGCGTGTCTGTCGACTTTCTGCGTGAATCCACCGATGTCGAACCGCGGCTTTGTGTCGAAAACGCGCGGCTCACAGCCGCCTTCAGCAGTTGGCCAAATGAAAGGACAGCGTGCTTCCAAGCGAATCTGGAGCAGTGAGGACCTCGGAACAAGCGGTCCGCCCGGTCTTCAACGCTGTCATCTCGCCAGTCATCCCACCTGCCAGCCTGGTCCGTCCCCACAGCAGTCCCTGGACTCCCTCGGCTGGCGGGCCCGCCGACCGTCGAGCGGCACCCGCATCGACAGGCTCGAGCGCCGCTTGGCCCGGTGAGTCAGCGGGGGCGACCGTCGTCGGTGCCGGCCAGCTGAACACGACTGCCATTACTCCGGCGGGTAACGAGCGCCGGCCGAATCCGGCCGCTAGTCCGACGCTGATTGGTCAATCGCTGCTGTCAGTAGCTACGCCAGCCGGTGATGGACAGTGCGGTCTCCCGGAGGCGGCACCCGACAGGGCAGCGACCGGAACTTTTTGGTGTCTGTCGAATACTCCGGCTAAAGCGGGACATTTCTGAGTTTGGCACACGCTGGCGCGAGTGTCGAAGCATGTACATACGTCCCAGATCGTTTCCGCGACACGCAGCCTGAAAGTGGAAGTGGAAGTGGAAGTGGAAGTTCTATTCACTGACGTCGCAACCTCACCCGGGCTGTCGCAGTCAGAATCAGAATCAGACAGTTGAAGTGCGTAGTGCAATGGGGGAGGAGGACCTGAAGCGGAGTATCTCGATCCCGGCTAAGCTGCGCTATTGGAGCACACCGCCCAGGCTCCAGACCGCTGACCTGAACCAGCCATCGGTGCTGGGAGACCGATCCCGCCGGCCCTCGCCTGGTGCCCCGCGGAGAGGGGCACCGGCTGGAAAGCCAGGCGCTCCGGGCGTGAGGCGGTGCTCGAATGGTGTCTGGGATTGTCTGGGACACCATGGACTTCAGGTGCGATGCTGGTCGACTAAAAACGGAACTAATAGCGCGGAACAAAAAGGAAATCAAGACCATTTATAACTGTGAATCCTGCCAAAAAGTGGGTGTAAAAAACGAGTGGTCGTTCGTCATAATCTGCACAGAGCTTTAGGCGTATTGAAGAGCGGTAAGTGGCAATCATGGGGTCACAAGGTCCATAGAAGACCGTGGTTAGCAATGCTTGCCGAGGATTATAGAAAATGCTGTCGTCGTAAATCTACAGGAATAGAAGAAACCCATGCTACGCGTCCTAGACCCATTCATTCCAGATCTTCCAGTATCTTCCACTCTCGTAGCATGCACGTGACGGCAGTATAACTAACTCAAGCGCGGGAGGTCTGTCTCCGTAGCCAAAAAGCAGACGGAAGCTTAAAAGGATTCCACGTGTCCTTCCTTGTGTTGCTTTCCAGAGCCAAACAAACAAAGACATACATCAAATAAACAACAATCAGGGCACACAGCAGCACGGTCCGTTCGCTTGTATTCACAGGCCGTTGGAGCTGTCAAACTGTGTGTATGTACAAGGTTCATAGGGCACGCCAGTCCGTCACGGGCTGGGAACTCAGACCGCCGGCTCGTACACACCCACATACACACACGCCCTGATCCATCCCGTCGATGACGCCGTGTCACGCATCGTTCCGAGTTCCGCTCTCTGGCGAGTCGTCTATGGGCATTACTTGGCACCGGGACCGTCGGCGGCCTGTCCTGGCCCCGGATCTAGAGTCGGGGCAGCTTGAGACCCCGGTCGACGGCGGCTCGTGCCTGAGCGCCCCGGCGCGCCGCCGAGCTGGGGCTCGCCGGGGCCGTCACCTCGGCGCGCCGGACCATCGACGCCGGCGGCGGCGGTACCGTCGGCAGCCCGTCCTAGCCCTGGATCTAGAGTCGGGGCAGCTTGAGACCCCGGTCGACGGCGGCTCGCGCCCGAGCGCCCCGGCGCGCCGCCGGGCTGGGGCTCGCTGGGGCCGTCACCTCGGCGCGCCGGACCATCGACGCCCCCGGCGGCGGCGGCGGCGGCGGCGCGCCCCGTGTGCGCTGGGAGCGGCCGCTGCCGTCCCAGCCGGCACTTAGTGGGCGCCGTGACCGAAACGAAGCGGCGCCGGCGTCGCGCCCCGGGCTTCCCACGGCGGCGGCCAGCGCCGGCGGCGCTTGGGCAATCGCGCCCCGCACCTCGATCCCGTCTGGCGCGGCCCCAATCCAGCGCCCAAAGGACGTCGGCCAGCTCACCCTGAGCCGGCCCCCAGCCAGCCAGTCAGCTGGACAGATACCTCCGTTCATGGAATGTTTGGCAGAGTCGTATTCCCACAACGGAGTCATTCGTGTCGGCCTGAGACGAGCAATACCCCGGCCCGCGCCGCGGGGCGCCATGGACCAGGTCAACACCGCACTTCAGCACCGCGGTACACCCTGGCTGCCTGTCGGTGGCCGCGCCAGCTTCAGGGAGAGCTCTGGAGCGATTGTTGGACAATCCGCAGCCACTCAGAGACGTTTAGTCATCGGGTACGTTACGCCATATACAATTTAACAAACAGCGGATTTCGAGACAGCCTGTCTCGCCCGCTACTCCCCGTAAAGACGGCCAGGCGGGGCCTGGCGGTCCGAGCGCAGGTAACCGGTGAGATGGCCATGCCCCCCTCAAGCCGCGCCGCGCGTGGCCTCACACTCGCCCGGAGACAGCTGGCCACCCCATTAGCGAAGACAAGGCCGGCCGGACACGCAAAAACAAACACGGCGCCCCGTGAGTAATCTGGCCGTCGGTACGTGCCGGGGCCGCGGTCAACGGGAGCTGGCGGCCCGCCCACCGGTTCCGGCGAGCGAACGTACCCGGTCCAGTTCCGTCAGAACCAGTCTGCCGACCATACTCTTCACTCCGCGCGACCGCCGCTCACGCTCGCGCCGCCGCACACGTGAGGAACGTTAGCCAGAGTGTCCGACGTCGAGGACACCGGCTGACGAGCTATCCAAACAAATATGCGTCAAACGCGTCCGACGGCACGTAACATGCGGCTGCTTACGCCAGACCGTCCAGACGTCAATCGAACATGTCGGCTAAACGGCTGGAAGCATCTGACACAGATAGGATGGACACGTGTCTCCATCCGTAGCGCGTAGGCGTCAGCGAAATAGCGAGATGATGCAAACTTAACTGTTAGTGACGCAGTCGGGTCAGTTAAAAATAATTTCACCGGCGTAAAAACGGAGCCATGACACGCACTGGCTGAGCCCGATAAACGCGTGCCTGAGGCAAGGGTATTCAAGCCACTCAGGGTCCCTGCAGCCCTGACGCGACCCGGGAAAGGGGTCAGACTGGCGAACGGCGCGGAGCGCTAAGCACCTGGCAACGGGCTGGGGGGGGGGGGGGGGGCGGGAGGGGGGGGGGGCGACCGCCAGGACGATAGCCAAGCCTATTTTCGACGCGCTGCCGAAGTACACAAAACCAGCCGAGCGGAGCCGGGTTAAGAGGCCGGACTACCCCGGCACTGACGGAAGGTGACTGATGCCCGGCGGGTCACTGGTCCGGACTACCCCGGCACTGACGGAAGGTGACTGATGCCCGGCGGGTCACTGGTCCGGACTACCCCGGCACTGACGGAAGGTGACTGATGCCCGGCGGGTCACTGGTCCGGACTACCCCGGCACTGACAGGTGACTGATGCCCGGCGGGTCACTGGTCCGGACTACCCCGGCACTGACGGAAGGTGACTGATGCCCGGCGGGTGACTGGTCCGGACTACCCCGGCACTGACGGAAGGTGACTGATGCCCGGCGGGTCACTGGTCCGGACTACCCCGGCACTGACGGAAGGTGACTGATGCCCGGCGGGTCACTGGTCCGGACTACCCCGGCACTGACGGAAGGTGACTGATGCCCGGCGGGTGACTGGTTCGGACTATCCCGGCGCTGACAGGTGACTGATGCCCGGCGGGTGACTGGTCCGGACTACCCCGGCGCTGACGGCAGGTGACTGATGCCCGGTGGGTGACTGGTCCGGACTACCCCGGCACTGACGGAAGGTGATTGATGCCCGGCGGGTGACTGGTCCGGACTTCCCCGGCGCTGACAGGTGACTGATGCCCGGCGGGTGACTGGTCACCACGCCAGCCCGTCGCTCGCATCCGGAGCCTTGACAGGCCGCCGGTGACCACGCCAACTCGTGCCAATCGCGGTCATGCCCGCCACTCGGGTAACCGTTCAAAGGGGAGAGAAAACATTCAAACTCTGGCAATCATTCAAACAAACCGTTTCAAACACGAACACGTCGCCACGAAATGTGTGCATACTGAGACAGCCACACGATGTCATGAGTAGCCTGCACAGCGACGGATCATTCCCTTTTGCTTCTATCTCTATTTTTGTGCTGGTTTACTTTTTCATGACAGCTTGAGCTGTACGCTGTCCAGCAACATTGCTGCGAGTTGTGTCGATGATGGGGTGAGAGAAACAGCCCTCTAAATAGGATCACCCCGCTCTTCACCTGAAGCAGGCGATCAGTTAGCCCGTCAACTCAACTGAAAAGCCTAGTGAGTGCCCGGAAAGCCAGAGTGGTCTGCCCTCCCCCGAACCTAGGCAGCCGGTGGTTTCCACGGCTTCTGTCCCACAAGAAGGCGAAGAGTTCGTCCTCAGACCCTCACCTGAGAAACGCAGTGCGTTCACCCTGCCGTCGCCACCTGAGGAAGGCGGTGAGTTTGCTCTGTCGTTCTCACCTGAAAAAGGCGGTGAGCTTGCCCTGTCTGCTGAGCGCCGGCTGACCGGGCTGGAGCGTGGCGGCGCGCCGGTGACGGCCGGACGGCGGCCCCACCTGCGGCGGCGCCTGGTCCCCGATCAGCTGGACGCACTCGCACGGGAAGAAGCCGACCTCGAAGCCGCGCTTGCCGCGCCACCAGGCCGACTCGTCCGGCGGCGCCATGTCGATCACGGAGATCATGTCGCCCACCTGCGGACGCGGAGAGGTCAGGTCAGGTCAGGTCGGGTCAGGTCAGGTCAGACGAGCCGGGCCACGTCGTGGAATGACAGGACAACACGAAGACAGGGCTCAGTCAGGTTAGGTCGGCTTGTCCAGCTTTTCCAGACGCAGGGGTCAGGGAGGAGACAAGCTCAGATGACAAGAGGTCGATGCGTTAAAAGAAATACGAGTCCTGGAGGATATGTCACCCAGCTGTCGCCAGACTGTCGCCACCGTCAGGTCAGCCTGACCTGGCCTGATGAAAAGCAACGGAACCTGAATTAGCGTTACAGTGCGATACAATGACAGTGAACCGAGGTCAGGTCCACAGGCCCAGACGGGCCGCTGTCTGGTCGAGTCCAGTAACGGGCCACATTTAAGCTATTTCTCGAAGCCAGGGCTGGTCCCCACAACATGTGCCAGTCAAATCGAGCGACACACCGATCAAAAACGCCCCACGGCGGACACCTGTCCACCGCGGATCAGCGTCATGGTGGAGAGTGGAAATGACTAGGCACGCCAGCTAGCGATGCCAGGCTAGCGATTTACTGTGGTTTCCTGGCATGGGGGGGAGGGGGATGGGCCGCACGGGAGCCGACATTTTGCGGGAACACTTTCAAATTCTTGAAAAGCCCATCTTGCATTGCAAAAGCAAGAAAAGCGCCAAATCTTGACCCGCCGGAGACCGTGGTTCTTGGGGATGAACAGCCCACACGAGCGGTCCGATAGAGCTATGGCGTCAGACCAGCAACGTCATTTTTTATTTTATGAGCGTCTGTCCACCGGCACCATCCAAGAAGCCGCCAGGCAGGTACTATCCATACGCCCTCTGCACTGACAGCCGGTATTCGATGGTGCCAGCACCCCTCCGCAAGCCTGGAAAGAACACGCTCGCAGTTCAGCCGCCTCGCAGTGACCCCGCGTGCGTCAGCACAGATTTTCCACTCGGCCTCGGCCGCCATCGGTGGCCAAATGCCGAGAGCGGGCCGCTGAGCAGCGCTCTGCAGGCGGACGGCGGACGCCCGCCCGCGCGCAGCGATCGCGGGATCAGCGGCAGCGCGTGCGGCCGGTGACGCGGGCTGGACTCCAGCGCCGAAGTAAGCCAATGAGATGCCGCCGCGGCACTGTCAGAAGCCGGGCCGAGCCACCGCTCTGCTCCCGGCGAGTTCGCTCGACGTGTCCACCAACGGCCGTCCGGCGTCGATAGTGGTGCTCCTCGTCCGGCGTGCCACGTCGGTCCACCGTGTCCACCAACGGCCGTCCTGCGTCGACGGCAACGCGCCCCGTCTGGCGCGTCACGTCGGTCCGATGCGAGGACAGTTTCCGGACAAAGAGGGCGCCGCGCGGGCGTGCGGCGTCACTGACCACCGTCCCCCCCCCCCCCCCATGCGCTCTGCCACCGCAGGACGACGGGCGTGGCCGGCCGGTCACTCCCTGCAGACGGTGTGGTATTTCGGCGGGGCGGGGGTGCGCCAGGCCGGTGGCTTGGCACGGCCGAGCCGCTGCGGTGCGGCCCTACTCCGCGGTCCAATTCCGACAATTCCGACGCGGATGTGGCGACGTTGTGGCGCACACAAGCTTTGCCGGCGGCCGGCTCGCGCCGCGCGGCTGAGCGGTTAGAGCGACGCGGAATTTCGCGATGAGAGCACCCGAGACAATGCGTGAAACGATTGCACAATGGGTTCAGTGCACGAGATCAAAGACTCCACAGGCCGCACTCCAACAGTTGTTCAAAGAGCGGGAGAGACATGTCGTTCCGTCAGCAAGCGGCCCCTTCAGATGGCGAGTGGTGAGGCTTCGTCCCGAATCCCGGCCGGCAAAAAAGGCGGTTCGCTGTCCCATCTGTTGTTCACGTCTCCCGGGCGGACGGCGCGTCGCCACCGCGCAGTAGCGGGGAGACGACATCTGGTTTGGTTCGCCGTGTCCGGGCCCGCGCATTAATCAGTGTCGCTGAGCCAACGCCGCCTGTTAGCCGCCGCTCTAAACGGCCGCGGTCGCGGCGGCGCCGGCCGGCAATGTCCCTCCCTGAGCCGGGCGGCCGCCGTGAGCCGCAGAAGGGATCCGGCGCGCAGCTGAGTCCAAACAAATCAGTTCTCTTGTGGCTCAGCGGCAGATGTGGCGCCACGTTATTCATGATTGAGTCAACTATAAAGAGAAATGTTTCCCTCCGAAAGGGTCCACATTTGTTACAGTAAGTAAGAAGTTACATCTGTAATAACAGAAACGCTGGCGAGGTTATCATACGGCACCAGGGCACCAGGTGGACAACACATCCCAGAACACGCGGCGGACAACACAGCCCAGAGGGTACCGCAGGACATGGCCGGCTGGCCGGACTGACCCGGGGCTGCTGGGAGGTAGCCCGACGGCGGAGGCGCGGTCAATGACCCCGCAGATCACCCGGGGCGGACCGGTGGGCCGGGCAGGTAGGCGGGCCGTGCGTAAAAATACACCCCGTGTCCGCCGGCGGTCCGGGCCGCGCGGCGAGAACCACCGGGAGATCTCTCAACTGAGGGACGGCCCGGCCTCGGCGACCAGATCCCGCGGGTCACGGGGTCACGGAGGTCGGGACGGCCCAGCCCCTAGGCCATCCGGACATCTGGGCACGGCCACGGACGGGGAAAGTCGTCGGGGTCATAATAACATGCTCCACAGAAAGATCGATCGAGGACGGCGGACAGAGAAAACAGGCCGGGACGACGTTACCAGCCGACGCAGCTGCAGGGGCTTGGTGAGAAGGGAGGCGGGATCAGCTACTGCTACAGCTTTACCAGGACCAATCGCAGTCAAGTCGTGACGACCGACATCATTACATGTCCAGAGATCGGACGTAACAACATAATTAATTACCCTGACGCGTCCTATTATCGCGGCAGTCCTGGCACGTTCAGATCCCTAAGGCACTATAGCAAGATAACCATGTTTGGCTGGCATCTGGGACGAGTAAGATGCCATCCGAAGGCCCCAGCTCATGGCTTCGACAAATCCGTGAGTCCGGAGCATGGAGGATTTCTCCCAAGAGATTAAACCAAGCCGGGATTACTCAGGCTTGTCGGTAATCTGTCACAGAGTGGAGCTCAGCAACAGCGCGGCGGTCTCACATACAGTGGAGCTGGGCTGACGGTGGTATGCCATATATTGGAACTGATCTAACCACAGCACACCGTACCGTGGAGCTGGGCTGACGGTGGTATGCCATATATTGGAACTGATCTAACCACAGCACACCATACCGTGGAGCTGGGCTGATGACGGTATGCCACACAGTAGAACCAGTCTGACCACAGCACACCGTACAGTGGAGCTGGGCTGACGGTGGTATGCCATATATTGGAACTGATCTGACCACAGCACACCGTACCGTGGAGCTGGGCTGACGGGGGTATGCCATATATTGGAACTGATCTGACCACAACACACCATACCGTGGAGCTGGGCTGACGGGGGTATGCCATATATTGGAACTGATCTGACCACAGCACACCGTACCGTGGAGCTGGGCTGACGGGGGTATGCCATATATTGGAACTGATCTGACCACAGCACACCGTACCGTGGAGCTGGGCTGACGGGGGTATGCCATATATTGGAACTGATCTGACCACAGCACACCGTACCGTGGAGCTGGGCTGACGGGGGTATGCCATATATTGGAACTGATCTGACCACAACACACCATACCGTGGAGCTGGGCTGACGGGGGTATGCCATATATTGGAACTGATCTGACCACAGCACACCGTACCGTGGAGCTGGGCTGACGGGGGTATGCCATATATTGGAACTGATCTGACCACAACACACCATACCGTGGAGCTGGGCTGACGGGGGTATGCCATATATTGGAACTGATCTGACCACAGCACACCGTACCGTGGAGCTGGGCTGACGGGGGTATGCCATATATTGGAACTGATCTGACCACAGCACACCGTACCGTGGAGCTGGGCTGACGGGGGTATGCCATATATTGGAACTGATCTGACCACAACACACCGTACAGTGGAGCTGGGCTGACGGTGGTATGCCATATATTGGAACTGATCTGACCACAACACACCATACCGTGGAGCTGGGCTGACGGGGTTATGCCATATATTGGAACTGATCTGACCACAGCACACCATACCGTGGAGCTGGGCTGACGGTGGTATGCCATATATTGGAACTGATCTGACCACAGCACACCGTACCGTGGAGCTGGGCTGACGGGGGTATGCCATATATTGGAACTGATCTGACCACAGCACACCATACCGTGGAGCTGGGCTGACGGTGGTATGCCATATATTGGAACTGATCTGACCACAGCACACCGTACCGTGGAGCTGGGCTGACGGTGGTATGCCATATATTGGAACTGATCTGACCACAACACACCATACCGTGGAGTTGGGCTGATGACGGTATGCCACACAGTAGAACCGGTCTGACCACAGCACACCGTACAGTGGAGCTGGGCTGACGGCGGTATGCCATACAGTAAAACTAATCTGACCACAGCGCACCAGTACGTTACAGCTGGGTTGACGGCGGTATGCCATACAGTAGAGCTGGTTTAATAGAGGTATGCCATACAGCGGAGCTGGTTTGTCGGCCGCCACTAGCGGCACTCGTCTGACGGCAGCGCGCCATACAATGCAGCTCGTCGGACCGCAGCCCGCAGGAGCTAAGCCCCCTCTGAAGACAGTCTGCCATTTCGTAGAACGCTTCTGGCAGCAGTCATAATACGACACAGTTAGTCAGTCAGACATAATAGACAGTTAGTCTGACGGCAGTCTTCCCAACGGCAGCACTAATCTGAAGACAGTTTGCGATGCAGTGACCCCGCCTGCCTCGGCAAAGCTGGGACACTACCACCTCCAGCCGCCGACCCTGCACCCCTCCCGGCTTCCTGACATCCCCTCCCCGTTCCCCACTAGCCCGCTGTTGGCACGTGGCAGTCCAGCCCTTTCGTCCACAAATCGCCGCTGCCGCCTGCATGCAATATC